TCTCATAGGTGGCCTTGAAGTTTTTTAGAAGTGAGTCTGGTTTCTCCTGAATCTCACTTATGGTAGATTTCTCCTCCTCTTCCTCACTCTGTTTCAGCAGAAATGAAAGTCTTCCTCAATTATTTCTGGAATTTAGTTCAGAGATTGGCAAACTTTCTCTGTAAAGGGCTTTTAGACTTTGCTGACTAACAGGCAAAATTGAGCAATTGTTCTCACTGAATAGTCTTTTTCAAACTTAGGGCCAAACAAAAATGGAATAGCTGGATTTAGCCCATGGGTCATAGTTTGAAAACCTCTGCTTTGGTTCATTTATGTTTTTTTCTTTCTTTTTCCTTTTCTTTCCTTACTCCCTTCCTTCCTTCTTCCATTCCTTCCTCCATCCCTCTCTTCCTTCCTTCCTTCCTTCATTTCTTCCTCCCTCCCTCCTTCCCTCTCTCCCTCCTTTTTTCTTTTAATACTAGGGTTTGAACTCAGGGAATTGCACTTGCTAGGCATGCACTTTACCACTTGAGCCATGTCCCCATCCCTTTTTGCTTTAGCTATTTTTCAAGTAGTATCTCATGTTTATACGTGGGCCAGCCTGAACAATGATCCTCCTATTTATGCATGCTCAGCTTTTTATTGGTTAAGATGGGTCTCATGAAGTCCTTGCCCTGGCTAGCCTCAAACCACCAACCTTCCCATCTTTGCCTTCTAAACAGGCAGGATCACAAGTGTGAGCTATTGTGCCCAGACATTTCGGTTTCTTTGTGTCTTCACTGATAGAATTTTTGAGAATGTATGATTATGTCATCGTTTCTTGTTTTTGTCTTTTGATATGATGACAGTGGCAGTATTTTGTGATTTTTTTTTAAATACTCAAGTCAAATGTCAGAGTTTGAATAAGCCAAACTCATTCACACTTTCCTTCAACTGGAGCTATATTAAACTACTGTCTCCTCCAGTGGGATATTATTGACCCTTTATCACTGCATTCAAACTTTTCCTAAGAAAGATTACTATAAGTAATATCAAGGAACTTCTGTAGTGTTGGGCTTTAGCATTCCAGATCCCAAACTGGGAACTCCCTTAGTGTGTGGGGTTTTTTTTTGGTGGTACTGGGGTTTGAACTCAGGTCCTTGTGCTTGCTAGGCAAGCCTCTACCACTTGAGCCACTCTGATAGCCCATGCCTCTGTATCTTTTAAATTTGTCCTCCATTTGATTAAAGCAGAGCAAGAAAAATACTAAACTTCCAGTTCCAGTATAACATGAATTTCTCTAGGCTTCACGGGCCTGGGGATACAAAGGAGTCCCCATTGGCAGTAAGAATTTAATTTCTAATGGCTATTTTCATCAATTCATGCAGGGCTTCAATCCAACATAAAAGTACCTCTTTTACTCTGTTTCAATTACTGATTGCTGTATTTTAAAGCATCTTAACATTTAGTGACTTAAAACAAGAACAATTTACTGTTTCTCATAATTATCTATGTTGATCGGATGTTTCTTCTGCTTCTTTTGCCTAGGCTTACCCATTCAGCTGGTGAATCAGCTGAGGAGTACATGATCCTGAAGGGCCTCACTCACAACTGGGGCCACAGCTGGAATAGCTGGGATGACTTGCCCAATCTTACTCTATGTGATCTGTTTTTCACATGATGTCTAATCTTAGACATGTCTTCGGTTTGTTGGAAGCATTCCAGAAGATGAAAATGAAAGGTACAAGAACTCTTGGAGTTCAAGCTCCATAACTTGCCTGGCATCACTTCTTCCCCATTCTCCTTATCCAAACAAATCACAAGGCCAGTCCAGATTCAAAAGGTAGGGAAGTAGACTGTTCTACCTCCCCTTGCTGGAAAAGGTGCAAAAATTTCATGGCCATAATTTATCACAACTATTTTAGGTGTTTCTTGTAGTACTCAGCTTTTCAACCAAATGCCACCCCTTTCAGTGGACATTTTAAAGGTACATAGCCATTGTTCTATCCTCCATGGAACCATCTTCTCTCTTATAGGATATCACCATTTCTCCTGAACTGAGCTGCCTGTGTTGGATACTACTGCCATTTCTGGCTAGAGACTGTGACCAATGTAGCAGAGTCCTCAACTTAGAAAAGTTTTGTGGTAGTCTGTAGATTAAAGTGAATAAAGATTTTTATTCCCGTTTTTCTGTTATATTTTGCTAGGGGAAAACTAAATCATGTGACTTATGCTGAATGTCTTGCACAGTTGCAATTCCCCCCCCCAGAAACACTTAATACATTCAAAAATAATGCAAAGAACTTAATGAGCTCCTATATAGCCATCACTCAGCTTCAACAGTTATCAACCTATGACTAATCTTATTGTACCACCACTACCACCCCCACACTGTTTTATTCTGAAATAAATTTTAAATACTGTTTCCTCCGTAAATATATTATATGTCCCTAAAAGATAACCACAATATTACCAAGTTTAAAATATTGATATTGTTTCTTAAATATGAAAGAAATATCCAATCAGTCATTATTCAGATGTATCTGGTTTTTTCATGTATCTGTAGGGGTAGGGCTTAATTTCAGGACCTTGCAAGGCTAGGCAAGTGCTCTACCACCAAGCTACATCCCCAGCCCCAGATGCATGTGATTGTTTATGTATAGTTGTGTGTGTATGGATAATTTTACATAGTTTGATTTTTAATTGCACACATTTAAGATATACAATTTAGTGAGTTGATACACATTACATTATGAGATAATCATCAGAATCAAAAGTCTATAACATTGTTATAGACTCACAGGAAAGTGTGGAGGCTCATCTTATGATTATTTTCTTATAAGGAAAAATTATGTATTATTTTAGGATGATGTATGCTCATTGAAGAAGGTTTAAAATTGAAAATTGTCTTATAAGACATGACATAAGAAAATTTCTAATATGACATAAAATTATCTCATATGAAAGTAGTTGAATGAATGACCCAATAAAATGTATAGGCCTTTCAGATATTAATAATCAAGGATCTGTGAACTGATACTTGAGGCAAAACTTGTATCAATTATGAATATACCAAAAGAAGGGCTGGTTAGTCTTAGACCAGGCATTAAAGCAACATTAAAAATGTATGTATACATATACAGTGAAGTATACATCACTCCTTGTTAATTTATCTGTGTAGGTGTGATCTCTATATACCCATAGAGCAAAGAAGTAACGACTCTAAAGATATTTTCACCCACTAGGAATCTCATCTCAGTTTGAGATAAAAGCTGAGAATTAGCCAGGCTTCAGGAGGCAGAGATCAGGAGGATCAAGGTTCAAAGCCAGCCTGGGCAAATAGTTCTCAAGACCCTATCTCAAAAATACCCATCATAAAAAGGGCTGGTGGAAGTAGCTCAATGTGAAGGCCCTGAGTTCAAATCCCAGACTTGAGAATTAACAAGTCTTACTGGGAGGGGGTGGAGTGGGTGGTAAGGGAGGGGGTGGGGGCAGGGGGGAGAAATGAACCAAGCCTTGTATGCACATATGAATAATAAAAGAAAAATGAAAAAAAAAAAAACAAGTCTTACTTCTAAAGATATTCCTATTCCAGGGTTTTCTTGTGGTTCTGAATATGATTACCACACACTAAGGTAATTTTTTTCCTAATTGCAGTTTGTTGGGATTGGCCAGATCAGGTTATTTACTCTATTTCCTGGCATTTTCCAAAATTATTCAAATCTAACCTTCCAGATTACTTCTTAATATTTAATTATATGTTGTCTATCTATACCATAACTTAGTGTTTTCTAAACATATATTGTTGTACTTAGTATTACTAGGAGAGTCATGAAAAACAAGTACTGTGCTTAAATAAATTCAAGAGTTAAACTGGTTTCTTCCTATATACTGATGCCCTGAGTTCCTTATAGGACTTTTTAAAATAGAAGATGGCCATTTTGATAATATTAACAATATTAATATATTTTTGTTCATTTAAATAAGATACTAAAGTAAGTTCTGCTATACAACCTCAGAAATATGTTTACATTTGTGTTGATAACCAAAATGGTTCTACATCCTCCTAATTATGGTGTTTACATTTTAATATGTTGGTAGGCATGTCTTGTTATTGTTAATTTAGGATGACCTATATTAAAATGACATATGCTTTATTAGAGAGAGGAGGGAATGGGAATTGTTGCTTAATGATCATAATCTCAGTTTTGTAAGGTGAAAGGTTTTGGAGATTGGTTGAATAACAATAGGAATACACTTAATACTGCTAAACTATACACTTAAAAATGGTTAAGATGATAAATTTTATGTCACATATTTTTTCCCACAAAATTGCCTTAAAATATTATTTCATAAATAATACCTGATAATTATGGAAAAATCAGAAAATATAGACAAGCAAAAGGAAAAACAATTACCCAAAATCTCACCAGCTAAGACTAATGTTTTGTTGCATTAATTATACACATATTTTTTCATACTTCATATGCTGTTTTTTAACCCGACCTTTTCAAACAGTTCACACCTTTTTAAAATTGTTCTTTAGGTTCTGTGTTCTTAATTAAGAATTCAGAGGAGTAGATATTTCACATTTCTATAAACTCTAATGCCCATAAACAGAAGTGACATTGCAAGCTTAGGGATGTATTTCCCTCTATCTATGCTTTGTAGCTCATGTGTTCTCAGGAGAATGAAGGTATACTGCAATCCTGATTTGCCATCCAGCTCTACTGTTATCTTTTAGTGATTCCTTTTATATATGGCCATGCCATGGAGGCTTTGGGAACCTTGGGAACTGGTAAGTCTAGTTGTCCCTGGAGATCCTCAGCCACGTGTCAACCCACTAGGATGATGTAAGTACGCATCCAAGCAAAGTTAACTATTAAGTTGTTGGGTTGAAAGGTCAGGAGAACTGCCTTTAATTGGAACATTAGAATGGGAAAGAACACATTGCTACTTACCATCCACCTTCATAGAGAAAAAGGGTAAAGAAGAAACAGTCATAGAAAAGTCTTCATTCCAGAAGTGCTCCAGGAATCATTATGGAGAGTTTCTGCAACTCGACTTTTTGGGTGAGTAATTAAATTTATTCTCATTGTTTACTCTTCTCAAACTCAGAACAAGGAATATGTTATTAGCATGGTCACTGACAAAAACCAGAAAAGTTAGAAGAGCAGCTGGGCTGCATCTCAATCTTTTGAAAGAAAAGATACTTCATAATATTTCCAGAGGATAATACCATTTGGGAAACATAGAATTTATTCTTTAACATATGTTTATTGTACCACAGACTATTTTCTTGGATTAACTAGCTGCAAAATCACCTTCTCAACAGAAAAAAAGAGAAAAAACATTCAATTTCTCCAGTGTTAGGAAAGACGATGTATGCTTTTGGGGGTAGGAAGAGAAGGTTCATGATTGAGTCTTGATGAGGTATATTAATGTTGGAATGATAATATGTTCTAGAGGAGCTGCTGACTAATAGTATGGACTAGAAGTTGAAAATGGGTATGCAGGTTTGAGCATCATGAGCACTGAGATAGTTTTTGAACAATTAGAATTAAACTATATTGTTTTTAGAGAAGGAAGGGAAGAAGCACCTCTGAAGGAGGAGTCAGATATTTGGAGAGTGAACGATCACAGAGCCTTGGAGCCTGGCAGCCTTGGGGAGCAGGGTTTTAGGCAGGGAGTAATCAACATTACCAAACAGCTTAGTGGAATACAGAATGAGAAAGGACCTTAGATTTAGTGATTTTTGAGAGTGTCCTCTGAAAACTACTAGCATCAGCATTACCAGGGATGATTAACATAGTTTAAATTAAGTGAGCCTTCTGAATTCTACAGTTGTATAACTTTACACAGAGATGAGAGATGAGATAGCAAAGCTGGATCTGCAGCTTTTTCTATAGCTGGAAGAACCTGGGCCCCACGCCTGGCCCTCAAGGCCAGGATATGAATACCACTGGAAGGTGAGGCCCAGTAAGCCCCACTATCTTGACAGACCATCTCTCAAGAATCCTCTCGGAGAATTACCTGCCGGTCATCTGGGTACTTCACTTTTTTTTCTTTTTCTTTTTTTTTTTTCAGTCTAAGAGGTCCTTACTGGACAATTTTTTTTTTTGAAGAGTCTATACCAATAGTCATATGAAACAATTTAAAAACACTTAATGTCTGGAGCTGTGTTTTTATCTGCAGGTTGTTAGGCGGTGAGGATTATAACCTACATGCTTTTTGGCAGTGCTAGGGATTGAACTCAAGACCTTGTGCTTTCTAGGCAGGCACTCTACCACTTAAGCCACACCCCTAGCTTAAAAATACTTAATGATAGAGAAAAATCTACCCTCACACGACTCAAGTATAAGAACTGGTGCCCGCTACCCCACCCACAAGGTCCTCCCACTTATCACAGCATGCAAAGTCTGGTTCAAAACTTAGTGGGAGTAAGCTTTCTGTCCAATAGTGCCGTTTTTCACTCCTGTGCTGAAACTGACCAGACCCCCTTGATTTTGCTGTAAGCCCTGTGAGCCATAGTAGGCTAAAGATCATACTGTGACTCAGCATCTGCTGTCAGGTGCTTCCGTGTTTACACATCTGCCAGGGTGTTCAAGTGCGGCTAGAAACTAAAGGAGTTTTTATCCCCAGGGAGCTATTCTCTCCTTTGGATCAAGGAACAGTCCTTTTCTTTCTACAACTTGACAAATGTCATGTGAGTTTTACACAATATAGCAGGCATAGAAATTCACTTAAAATCACAGGAAAACAGATTTTTAGAGGTTGAGTTGACTAGAAAAGTCACTAAATGTCATTAAGTAGAGAATTTGAATCAATGAGGATGAACAGGAAAATGCAGATAATTCTAATTTTAGTACGTGTGCTGCCAAAGCAAGCAGCAGCTTTAAAGGATAAGGTCGGATATGGTTATGGAGCTGAATTAAAATTGCTCGGAAGCATATGGGGCATATTGGGGGATGGGCCTATCTTTAAAAATGTATGTATCCAACAGTCCTTCTCTTTTGGTTCCCAGAATTCCTCATTCTTCGATACTCCGGAGATAGACCTGCCACTTTGTTTTGAACAAACAGTTCTGGTGTGGATTCCCTTGGGTTTTCTTTGGCTCCTGGCCCCTTGGCAGCTTCTTCATGTATATAGATCCAAGAAAAAACGATCTCCTATAACTAAATTCTACCTCGCCAAGCAGGTACAGTAATTTTCAAACTCTAATTCCTTAGTGCACAAGAGACATTTTCTTGGTGGTTAGTGTCTTCTCTGTCTTTTATGATCTTTGCCCGGTGCTACTGTCTCAGGCAGAGTTATGCTCTGTGCCTGATCTATGCCTCACTTGGCCTCTTGCAATATTTCTGTATCAAAGTAGCTTTGCTTTTTACATAAGTGCGTGACTCTTAATTCTTATGTTTACTAGTCACCCTAAACACAAATAATAAGCAATGGATCAAATTGTTATTATCTTTTCTGTATTTGAGAAGTGAAGAGTAGATCACATGTCTTTAAGTTGCTCTAGTAAGTCAGGAGTTCAATTGCACCTGCCACAAGGTGAAAAGAAACTATATAATGTATCATTTGGACCATACAGGTTATCTAATCATCACTTATCTCTCAAAACTTGGATGTGACATAAGTTTTCTGTTTCCCCAGAGCCCTAGAATGTTCACTCACATGGAGGGAAGAAGAGTTAGTGTGCACAGTGACAAGCCTGAGTGGGGAAATAATGGGAAGGTATGGGCTGTGGCAGAGAACCTAGGAATGACACCGAGAGGAGCTCTCATCTCAGGGAGGAGTGTTGCAGGACCCAAGACCTTCAATCAAGGTCATGAAGTTACCTCATAAAATCTACCATCTACTTCACTCACTAGGTTTTTTTGTTTGTTTCGTTTTCTGTCTGTCCTAATATTTAAACAGATTAGAAAGGCAAATTAGATTCCCTTGTTTTGCGAGCACACATACCTCTGACCTATACTACTGGAACTTCATGGAGGAGGCCCCAGAAAGTGAGAGTCACATGAACACGCTGGGGTAGGTCTGGGAGTGGGCTTTGTCAGACTGGAAAGGAAAAGAACAGTCTCTGAGAGCTGGGGCAGGTTTATTGTCACCCTTGTTGGTATAAGCGCCCAGCCTAGGACCTAGCATTTTACGGAGCCCTCAGGTTAAATTCAACCTTTGTTGAATGTTAGTGTTAAATGCACCTTAGGAGTAAGGGTTGAGTCAAGAATGTGTTAGACTATAAACATTCTGAATAATGTTCGATAAATAACATTCTTTAGCACCCTTGGCAATGAGTACAGCTTATGGTTATAGTTTAGCCAAGTGAGGAGGTTTCTGCTATTTTTCCGGACTGAGTAATGGACAAACCAGTATCCCATCCTAATGAAATTTGTTAATTTGGGGGCAAAGGCACTACTAGGGTTTGAACTCAAAGCTTCACACTTGCTAGGCAGGCACTCTATTGCTTGAGCCACCAGCTCTTTTTTTGTGATGGGTTTTTTTTTCTAGATAGGATCTTGATAACTCTTTGCCTGAGCTGACTTTGAACCACTATCCTCCTGATCTCTGCTCCTGAGTAGCTAGAATTACAGAGGTGAGTAGGTAATTGAATGAATTGAATTTAAAATGAGGGCCTTGGGAAATATCTCAGTGACAGACATTTGCCTAGCATGCTCCAGGCCTTGGGTTCAATTCCTAATACCACAGAAAACATAAATAAATTTAAAGGTAGATAAAAATGAACTTCTGTGGCTGTGGAAATGCTGAGGTCAGAGTAAGATGTACAGCAAAAAAGACTTGATATCGAGCCAGTCTGATCTGGAGTTATTTGCAGAAGTACAATATAGAAGATTATCTAACTTGTTTTGAAATTTTTCATTAAGCAAGACCAAGATAAGTGACTGAAGGTTGTTTTTGGAATGTAGCATTTGGCTAACTATACAGAAGAATTCTCTAATGAAAGTAACTGTCTGATTATAGAATGAGCTGCTGGAATGAAGTCCCTGAAAATACTAAAGCTAAAGTTAGCTACTGTTTGTCTGCTAGCGAAGTGGTGAAAGTGCGCCCCCTGTATAATGGATAGAGATTTACCCAGAGTATCTTCTCATTCATAAAGAATCTTTGTAGATACGGGAAGGCTTTTAATATAGCCAAATAATATTCCCTTCTTTTTTATTACCAATGAGATTGTATTTCTTTTGTAATCCCTTGCCTGATTAATCAGAGATCGAGGGCAAAGAGTATTAGGACTTGGTAAATCATTAATCATCCACAATATCTCCCTGTTCCTAAATGATAAAAGGGTATGCATGTTTCTGATAACAATAACTTGTGGTTACTGTAGAAAGAAGGGGAACTCCAGAGAAATAGGAAGAAAACTAAATGTATTGATAATCATAGCACTGTGATATACTCCTATGAACATTTCGGATGTTTCCTTCCTCTTAAAAGAAATAGAAAAAAAGTACAAAGCAAATACAAAGTCTCTTCTTCATCTTCCTACTTCCCATCCCATTCTGTAGAGATCTCCATTTTAATTATTTTATGATTACCTGCATATCTGCACACAGTGTGCTTGTACCTAGATTTTTTATCTATTAAGTTAAGAAAAGATGCATTTCTGCTCTAAGGAAAGGGAAGGTATTTAGTTCGTTGACAGGGAATTTATCTTCCTCTTTCTTTCCTCTTTTTTTTCTCCCCTTTAATTTTGTATGACTTTTTTTTTTCAGTTCTTCTATTTGTTATTTTTTCCTAAAAATACTCTGCTGCTAATGTTAAAGTCTATGTGAGTCCCCCCCACCCACGCCTCACTTACTAAGGATTGATCCCAGGGCCTCTTGCACTCTAGGCAAGCATTGTATCACTTGGGTCATTCCCCCACAATACATACTCTTTTGTTTGTTTGTTCTTGAGAGTGCCTGGGCTGGCTTTGAACTCAAGATCCTCCTTCCTCCACTTCTAAGTAACCAGGATTACAGGTGTGAACCACCACACCTGGCAAATTCTACCTATTGATGCTTCTTTATGTAACATTATACTATTAAAGCTCTCACCCTTCTAAAGGAGAACATCTTTAAGGTGGCAGTAGATAAAGTCTCTAAGTCTTTTCTTTCTCCCTCCGTCCCTCTCTCTCTCCCTCCTTCTTTCCCTCCCTCCTTCCTCCTTCCTTCCTTCCTTCTTTCCTTTCCCCAATTGCTAGACAGGTGCTCTACAGCTTGAGCCATGCCTCCAGTCACTGAATTAGAATTCTTATTCTTCTTATCCTTGCTAGAAGCTTTTATGCACTTTGTTCTTCACAACTTAAAATTTCATACGAGTCTGTCTTCATCCATTCAGTGGGCCATTCAAACTAAATGCTTATACCTTTCTTATTTGTGAGAAATTTTCATATATTATTTTTTTCATTTCCTTCAACTTTGAAATCCCATCTTTTAAACAGGTGTACCTCTCTAGCCCTATATGTGCCAAATGAAGATACATTCATTCTGGGCACCAATACGCAACCCACATTCTCCAGCGAGAACTTCTCTTGCTTTAGTTTGAGCTGGGATTGGGGTTATTGATGTAGGCATTGTCAGTGAGTTTGCAGAGATAGGAGGGTAGGGGTGGGGAGAGAAGGAAGTGACTGACATAACTGTACCAGCTCTGAACACACAGTTCCAGTTAAGCCTCTGATGTCTGCCCTGTTTCCCATCCTTATTCTGTGCTGTTGCTTAGGTGCCTCCTAACCATACTCCTAAAGGCCTATGTGTTAAAGTCTTTGTCACCAGCCTGTGGTGCTTTTGGGAGCTGGTAGAACCTTTATGAGGTGGGGCCTAGTCTAAGGAAGTTAGATCACTGGGGAAGCATGCTGTTGACAGAGATAAGGGGACTCTGGGCTCTTCCACTCTCTTGTATCTTTGCTTCCTGGCTGCCATGAGGTGAACAGGCCTCCTCCACCACATGCTCAAAAGACCATGAACCTCCAAAACCATAAGCCAAAATAAACCTTTCATTTTTAGAAATTGTTTATCTCAGCTGTTTCATTACAGTGGTGGAAAGCCAACACATTCACTGTCAGGGTTGATTACAAAGAATAGTTTTATATCTTTGACGGCTCTCTCATTTGCAAAGTCACCTCAGTTGCTTTAAACACTAAGGAAGTTAATTTTTTTCCCCCAGTTCTGGGGATTGAATCCAGGGCCTAATGCATGCTAGGCAAATTCTCTACCACTTGAGCTACATCCCCAGCCCAGGAAGTTAAAATTGCACATAACAAAAAATTCAGTTTGCCTCCAGGATTTGTTAATTCAGCAGCTCAACAATATCATCTTTCTTCTGATATTATCAGCATATCAACTCATGTATGGAGACAGTGAATGATTTCAAGATGACTGCAGTAGCTCCAGACGTAACACGATCAAGTCAGTGTCCAGAAGCAAAAAAATAAATAAATAGGCCTCAGGTGTCCCTATGTATCACTTTTTTAAAAGAATGACTTTATTAAGATTGTAATTCATGTTCTATAAAACTCACTAAAGTATACAATTCAACGATTTTTAGTATATTCACAGACTTGTGTGACCATAATCATTGTCTAATTCTAGAATATTTTTCATCACTCCAAAAGAAACTCTGCACCCGTTAATCCCATTAATTAGTAATGCTCCATTTCCTCCTAACCCAGCCCTCCCAGACCCTAGAAACCACTAATTTGGTAATCTCTGTGTATAAATTGCCTAGTTAGGACATTTCCTATGGGAAGAATTATACAACACATAGCCTTTAGTGTCTGACATTTTATTTAACATAATGTTCCCAAAGTTTATTCATAATGCACCAAGAATAAGTATACTATTCCTTTTTTTATTTTTTGAGGTGGAATTGGGAATTGAATCCAGGGCCTTCACTGAGCTACATGCCTGGTCCTTGAAGTATATTTGTATTACAGTAAAATATACAATGCTTTACAATTATCTTTACTATCTAGTTCCTGAATTTTTTCACCACTCCAAAAAGAAACTTCATACTTATTAAGCAGCACCTTTCTATTCCCTCCTACCCTAGCCCCTATCAACCACAAACCTGCTTTTCAGTCTTTAGATGTACCTAATTTGAATATTTTATGTACAAATTCAGCCATGTATTTATATGGCCCATAGTATGTGGCTTCTTTCTCTTAGCTTAATATTTTTAGGGTTCATCCATGTTGTAGTATGT